TTCAGTTATATTTTATGATAATTACAAAAGCTACCCCGTGCTTTGAACTTGTTATATATTATTTGGCAAAAATCCAATTTTGGTCCGCTAATTTGTCCATTGTCCACTTTTGGTACACTAATTTGTCTCTCATAAAAAAAGGCCCATTATGTTACACATTTCATCAGTTTTAGTATGCTAATCTCGTGGCCCGGGATTACGAGATGCCAAATCAGTTTTTTATCCTACTACGTCAACATCTTATCCCTCCACGTAGTTCCAATCCCGGTCCACATCATCTCGTAATCCCGCCAACTGGAGTAGTGTACTAAAACTGATGAAAAATGTAACATAATGGACCATTTTTGATGAGGGACAAGTTAACGGACCAAAAGTGGACAATGGACAAGTTAACGGACAAAAATTGAATTTTTGCCTATATTATTTGAATGTTTGTTTAATGTGACGTTGCTTGCAGGCAACATTGGCGCCACCTGTGAAGGGCAAGATGTTTAAAGGGCTGTGCATTTGCTATGCAGTGGTCACTGCTACTTTCTTCAGTGTAGCCATTTCTGGGTATTGGGCATTTGGGAACCAAACTAATAGTCTAATCCTCACAAATTTCTTGACCGACGGCAAAGCCTTAGTCCCCAAATGGTTCATTCTGATGACCAATGTCTTCACTATTCTGCAGCTATCGGCCGTTGCCGTGGTAAAAACAATAATTTGCGATAGATTTTCTTTTGTTTTTTTCTCATGTTTTATTGAATCTTTATAGTGTGTTGTGTGATTGCAATTGCAAGGTGTACCTGCAACCGACGAACGAGGTTTTAGAGGGGGCGTTGGGAGACCCCATGAGCGGTGAGTTCTCCATGCGTAATGTGGTCCCAAGGGTAATCTCGAGGTCCATATCTATTGTTATCTCGACTACAATTGCGGCCATGCTCCCCTTTTTCGGGGACATAAATGCGGTGATTGGGGCATTTGGTTTCATGCCGCTCGATTTCGTGCTGCCCGCTGTTTTCTTCAACCTGACGTTCAAGCCATCAAAGAGGGGTTTCATTTTCTGGCTTAACACGACCATAGCCTCCGTTTTTTCGGTGCTCGGGGTTATAGCAGCAGTTGCGGCCGTTAGGCAAATTAGTCTCGACGCACAAACATACAGATTGTTTGCGAATATATGATAGGTTCACTTACATGTTTTCGTTTTAATTTTAACATCAATTCACGTTGCCACTTGATAGGATTTTCTTGTCCAAGTCGATTTTCAAGTTGATATTGAACACAAAATTTGAAAAGCATAATACTAACATCTAAGTGAATAACACGGTTTTAACTTTCAATGGTGAACATGATAAAATTATTGTCGTCAGTAAGAACAAACCGTATATAGACATAGACCAATCCTTCTACTTCGCTTGATTCGATCATACAAGAGCATGACCCTCTTAAAGAAACAAAAATCACGACAACCAGAAGATAAATTCTACCTTTATTACTAAAATCACATCTCTTTTTGTTGTGTGTAAACTGTAAAGATTATCTAAGCATACCCATCACCCCCCCCACTACACAATTAGTTCAAGAAACACATTACATCATTCAACACACAATCGTCGTGTTAGGGAAAATTCCAAACACTCACGAACCAAATCGTCATGTTAGGGAATAATCCAACACTCATGAACCAATGCACCGGTTTTTTTTTTCTTTACGCATTTCGGGCCTCTTCATTATCCGCACAGCCAGGTCTTTCGGTCAGAAACTGCTCCCAAAAGACATCATTAACCATCGCGGGCCCCACCTTCTTGTTATTTGCATCGCGAGCTGAAGATAAATCTCGACCACCATCAACCGCACCAAGTGTTGCATCCTTCAAGAGAGCCCTATCACGGACTTCATTATTCTCCCCAACCGACTTTTGGCTTTTATTATTGAGCTCCAATGGGGATGAAGAAGCAAGCGAGAGATTCAAGAGACACGAAAGATTTGCATCCTGATCACCATCGGCATCATTCAAGCTCATGTTATTACAATTAAGGGAAAGCAATGTCGGGCTCCCGAGTCCAGACCTGAATGACAGGGAGTCCATCTTCAGCGTAAACGAAGCCCCAGTGTCTGATAGCTCCAGACCCGAGGCCCGAACATTCACTTCCTCATTCGAGCTCTGTGTGCTGTGAGAAAGCAGGTTCACATCTGACACAGCTGGTGAAAGCTCGAGTCTGAGTGCGTTGCACAGGTCCAAGTCCTGGCGACAGGCCTCAGGCCTCGAGCAGCTGCTCTGGCTATCGAGCGGGACACTATCATGAGCTGTTTGGACTGGATGATTGGATGCGGGCAGCCTCCTTTTCTTGCTGTACGCCGAGAAATCCATGGAGTCGAGCTTCCGAGCCAGTTGCTCGACAAAATTGGGGTTTTTGAGTGCTTTTTCTACGTAGCTCAGGAGCTGCTTGTGCTTTTGCTCCATGCTATTTATACGCTGGGTTAGGGTTTCCAGCTGCGCCCTTGCTGCGGATTGTTGCTCCTTGAAGCCCGAAATGTTGCCCTCGAGATGGACTTTCTCACGGGACAGCCTGTCGATCTCTTCCTCGTATGAGGCCCGTTCGGGGTCAGCCGGGCTCGGTGGCTGGCTGTGGCTGTGGATGGGCTTCCGGCGGTGGATGTTCTTGAGGAGGTGCTTTTGGTCTTTTATGAAGTCATCGTTGGCAAATTCCCACCTCTCGGGGTCCACCTTCCTGAATCCCTAGGACAAATGTGCGTATACTGCTTTAGTACATCTATCTGACAAATGCAACAGGTCAGTGGAATTCTTTTCTTATTATTTTCCCTCTTCTTAGTTCTTTCTTTCGTGGATTAAAAATTATAACAAAAAATATAATAAGGTAGGCCAATCTACTATTTCTACGTATAATCTCTATCCTGCATAATTTCTTTCTATCATGATGAAGTACGGAGAGGAATTACTGAAAGGGGGTAAGCTCAAAAGGCATATCAGAAATGCAGTTCCCTATTAAAGATAATGAAATGAGTATAAACCAAATTTCTTAGACCAAACTTCTTGCAAATATCAAACGAAGAATTATCACCATAATTAACAACGGGATGGATCTAGAAAATCTGGTTATGAAGACTATGTAAACTGTCATGCATAATGTGATAGTTTCAAACTAGTCCGCAAAACATCACCAAATTTTATCTAGTCCCATAACGAATGAAAAGCACGACAAGTTCGTCCTGATTTCAAGGAACTGGGAATTGCATATTACACAACATTGAAAATATGACTTGAACTTTGCTTTCATGTAGCATAGTTCCATGAACAACTTTGCAGAATGTGTAATTTGCATGACCAAACTTGACAGATAGAGGTAATTACAAGAGTCCTGTACATTTTCGTTTTCTTTTCAGAGGTCCATTTTCTATCGCTCTAAGGCTACACACAGTCCTGTGATTTTTCCTCGATGATTTCCACGACTCGGATACATCCACACCAAAATTAAAGTTGAATAATAATAATAATAATAATAATAAAATAAAAAATAAGCAATCAACAAAGAAGAGGGAAGTAGTAAACATACATAGGTGTTGAGCTGGCGGATGAAGCTCGAGAAATTATTGTGCTTGAAGTAGGAAGGGAGGAGAACACGTTGGAATTCAGGTGGATTCCACACCACAAAGCTCTTCTTGGTTGAGCTCCATGAGACTATGCTATCTGTGTTCATATCATCCACCATTTCGTACGTCTTGATTAGGAAAGGCGCCGGGCCACCACCAGGTCCCCCGCCGGAAGCTCCTCCTCCATCCATTGATCAAGACAACAACGGCGAATTCTGGTCTTCTCGCCTTAACTTGACTTCTTCTGTTTTTCCCTTTTCAAGGTATTTTAATTGTTTAGACGATTATCCTATTTTTTTTGTTTGAAACAAATTATGGGTTTTTCAGATTCAGGATTAGGAACGCATTTGAATATTCTAGCACCGAGAGCATAAGGGCAAAAAAAAGGGCATCAACGGCCATCACCAATCGTTGAGAACAATCTCACAGCGCGTAAATGGATAATTCCGGGCAGATTATGAAATTGGATCAACAAAACGATAGAAGCAACACCAAACATTACAATGAAAAATAAAGCTCTAAGAGGCCATAATAGAAAAATGAACAAAAAAGGAAATAAATCGATCAATCAGATGATCTGATAATTACTTGGGCTAAGAGATTACAGGTCGTCTCACCTGAATGTCTTCCCGAGTGATCAAAGATAGCCAAAAACGTCAACCGAAGATAAGTCAAGTCTGCATCTTCAGTGATCAGAGATCGAGAAGGATGCATGAGCCGCCGAGAGATGGATAACTTGGGCTGGGCTTCGTTGGTAATTGATTCTATTGGGCATAAATATTGTAGGTTGTATCTATAGCCCAATCAGGATATGACAATTTTTTTTTTTTATTTTTAATAATAAAACTTAGATTAAACTCAAACTAAGTCTTTTTTTTTTTTTTCTTTTTACCGGCACACAAATTCATTAAAAATCAATGTTCTGAAAACTGGATCGGTCATCAAACCAATGAAGCTGTCGGTTCAATGGTTCACTGGTCGGACCAATGGTCGAACCGGTCGAATCGGTTTAATTAATATACAATTTTTTATTTATTTTATATGTATTATATATAATTATATATATATATATATATTTATCATTATTTTATAGTGTATAATGACATTCTCTACATACAAAATAATTGTATATATTTTTTATCACTACTTTAATCTGTATAATATATAATTGTACAATTTTAGCATTATCATTAAACACTAAAATGTTAAATTTATCATCTAAAGTTTGTATTTATTTTGTAAATTCTAAATATGTAACAATAATATAATATATCTTTTAGTAAAAGTTTTCTTTTTGCAATTAAAAAAAAAAAGTTTGGACTTGATGTTTGAAAAAAGTTTGCACTTTATCATTTTGAAAAAAGTTTGCACTCTACATACAAAATATTTTGGGGAAAAGACATAACGGACTCTTATAAACACAAAGATTCCATTAAATATATTAGTCACATGGATTTTCAAATATACTCCAATCGCTTCCAAAACAGGAAATATATAACTACCTCAAATAAATAAACAAAACCACCTAATTAAAAATCATTATTTATTTTCTTTATATTTATTCCTTATCTTCATGTAAATTCTTTTCTTCTTTTTCTCTTTTCTTCTTCCTCTTCTCTTTTCATGTTCTTCTTCTCCAAATATTTGTTTTTCTTCTTCTCTTTCAAACATGAATACCTAAAAAAAAAACAAAAAAATATAAAATAAGTAAAAAATTGATAATTAGTTATATACATACATAACAATTAAATTAAATTAACTGAAAAACACCAAAATATTTGTTATTATAAGTAAAAAAATTGATAATTGGTTATATACATACATAACAATTAAATTAAATTAACTGAAAAACACCAAATTGTTTGTTATTATGACTTTAAAGATTAATGATATATATTACGAAAACAACAAAATAATAAGAAGACAACAATAAAACATATGGCACGCAACATGAAAACAAAAATCTACATAAAAGTAACATAAAAACAACATTATAACATATGTCAAATAACATAAAAATAACTTTATATTTACAAAAAAATATGAACACACAACTCCTTTAATTATATAAACACATGTATATATAAATCATCATTTTTAATTGAAATTTTCGATTAAACTTTTTTATAATAAAAGTAGAAAACCATTGTACACACACACACCAAAAAAAAGGATAACACACATGGAGCAAACCTTAGTCGGGTGCGTGTTAGAATTAAAGGTACCAAATATTCCAGATTCACACGAAAATCAAGAAATTAAAATACGCAGCGGAAAATAAATAACACGAATGGTTAAAAAATTTAGCCTACAAGTTAAAATACTTGTAGACTAAGGCCACATGCCAAAATTTCACTAGAACAAAATAATCATAGAGTTTTTCATCCAATCCAAAACATCTAGTGAACTACGAAAAACAAAACGTGAGTTGGATACAAGATATAAAAGAAAGCAAGCCAGGTAAAGTTTGTTCGATCCGTTAAACCGCACGGGGCTTCCTTGAAAATTTAGTCAAGCTTGGACTAAGATTTCAAAAGCCTTGATCTAAAATCAATTGTGTGCTATTAGATTTGTTCTCAATTGCCCGCGCCTGCTTCTTCTCTTCTTTTTTCACGAATGCTCCAGACCAAAAGTAAATAAAATCCTCTATTGCTTGTCTTTTCTCACGTCCAAGCCTCCCTTTTTTTATTTCTTTTGATTTGCCAAATCTTCTTTGAATCCTATTACAAGTAGGAGACTTTTTATCAAATAACAATAATATACTACCATAAATAAAAACTATTATAAATATCTATACAAAAATAAATCAGAAAAGCAAATAAAAAATTAATCAAAAAATATGATTTAACAATCTCCCCCTTTTTGCTTTTCTGAACAAAACAATATATTGAACTAAGCATTAAACACTCCCCCTAAATAACACATTGAGAAACATATATAAAAGAGATAAAAGGAAGAGAAATGCAAACAGTGGTAAAACCAAGCACTCCATCTCCCCCTTTTTGGTCAGAAAACATGGACGGTGGCGCGGTCCGAGCTCAGTTTCGACTCCCCCTCAATTCAAGCACTTCACGACTATATATCACTATGTGTTTGCAAATCGTATGCTATGAAAATATCCGGAAGCCATTCAAACATTCAATAAACTCCTCTTGTACATCTTCATGACCAAACAGTGACACTAGAAGTCCCCTCAGTAGGAGCGGATATCCTCCCAACAAACAGTGAATTCTAAGATGAGCATATCACGTTGAAGTACCCCAAGACCTTGAAGTCACTACACCCACCACTGTAATCATATCCATCTGTAGCTGTGAACTGTTCAAAAACTCCTATACTATTGATGTAGAATTTGAATTACAAAAGTGTTTGTAGGTAATTGAGGACAGATTGTTGCAACCGAGAAATCTCCTGCTCTGTCTTGGTCTTCATCTTGGCACAAAATTGGCAAAATAACTGAAAAAAACGCGACGAAGTTCACGGAGGGCCACGGGGAGTCCTCGACGTCACGCACATCTGGAGAATTTCGTACACGTTCTTCTATGGCCTTGATCGAAATGTGGCGGTACATGTGGACCGCGAACGAATTGACAGAGTCCGGTACGAAGCTCGGGTCGTATCTGGTGACTTCGGTGTCCCCAAAAAGAGGCTGATCGGAATCGTAGGCTGCGGCCATTATGGTCGAGGTGATGGATTATACTGATGTGCTCGGGCTCCCAGGTATTGAACCACATTTCACACTCGCAAGGGCCTTCTGCAGTCTCTCCTCATTCTGTTTCCAACCGTCTTGAAGAAAATCATAGTTGAACCAGGCACGAAGAAGCCGTCGCGGTTGGAGACGCCAGCGGCACCCGGCAGAACATCCATACAATCAGAGGAATGAAATTGTCGGAACTCGATTCGGATGTCAAGCCCAAAATAAAAAGACACAGGTACTTGGGACGACGGACAACGGTCGATGACGGCAGAGGCGTGGTCGGTCGTCGGCGGCAGAGGCGCGGTCTCACCTCGGCGAGAAACCCGACCGAACCGCCTGACCGAGAACTACGGGCCGCGAACAGAGATCGGAGGAGCGGGAGTGGCCGTTGCCGACAGAGATTCGACATCACCATCGAGAGACGGTCGCCGGGAAACACGACCAGATGGTGGCGGCCGACTGGTAGCCACGTTCGACGATGAAAAAGTCGGCAAAAAACTTCTCAGCGAGCGCCAAAGATGAATCCGACGAAGACGAACCAATTGAAGCTGACTTCCTCTTCAAACTTGTGGGGGCCGTCGAAATTCGAGTGATGAACGATATTGCCGGAGAGAAAGTGAGATTCGGAATTTTGAGATGAGCCCTAGGAATCGAACGGACGAGAAGACAATATCTAATTTTGGCCTGTGAGAGAGTCTCAAAGAAAAACGTGAAATGGGAGAGAGAAAGACTAAAAAAAAAATGAGATAAAAATATAAAAAACGTTAAAAGAAAGTATAAAACGCTAATTTTTTTTTTATTTGTTGTAAAGAAACACGCACAGCAGAAACCAAAAAAAACGGAAGAAACAAAACACATGACAGAAACAAATTCCTCTAAGGCGTGGGCACGGCTTAACAATTAACTGCAATCAAGAAAAAATCCCAACAAAGCAGAAACGAATATTACTAAAGCGTGGGTACGACTTAACAATGAACTCCAATCAATAGAAACAACAAAGCAACAAAAAACATGGACCAACGAGATTGACACGCACATTAACTCATTACGAACACACCAAAATCAATAAGAATTATATCAACGCATGAATATCAAAACCGTAAATATAGACTTTACAATCATAATGCACGTCAATCTCATAGTCACCCAAATTTTCCAAACTCGTGAACTCACTCCATAGAAAGCACTACTCATTCAAAGAGATAGAAGATAGTTCCATAATTCACACATTGCACACAAAGAAACAAGATCATAGTTTTAACATTCACCAAGTATGCATATCCTGATTATGCCTAAAAAGAATGCCTAAGAAAGTAAAAAAAAAAATAAAAATAAAAAGAAAACGTGAACGGTATAATCAAAGTTAGCACAAAAGAAATAGTGACACACTTAACACCTTTACACAGACTAAAAATCGCACTTCATTTTTTTTTATTTTTTATTTTTTATTTTTTTTTGCCATGAAGGAATAAAGATCATTGGGTAGCTTTCACA